ATGACAGCCGCCTCCTAACTTTTGCATTTTTCTCTAGTCTAGTCTTCTCGAAAAGTATCTGTACTTGTACCGAGTACTGTACTTGGTATCGGTGAATCCCTCATTTGGGGGATGGAAAGCTGGCCATACCCTATGTGTTTTTCTCGATGGACCCCTGTGGACTGAACAAGAAAAAACACTTGATTACTTCCCCCCCGCCGGTCTATTGTATGGTGGGTGTGCCATTGTCAGAATACATGAACATTAATGGCAGCTCAATGGCTGCCGAACTTTCAGACTAGTTTCTTCAACAAAAGTGGACTTTTGCCGGATGGTGGGGTGCCAACGGGGCCACACACTGCTCAAATTTTGGACAAGTCAGCAGGACTCGACTGAAACTCAAGCAACATATGCCAAGATATAGCAGATAGTATTTTCATACATTTTCTACGGGCCCGTTCAGACATAGTGCGGTGGCCTTCGCTGTGCTGCACTGGAACAACACAGATCACCACTAGGGCACACAGAATATAATTGTGTCCCGTTCACACCACAACACGGGAGTGATGGGTGGGGCACTGCGATAAAATGCAAATATGCTGCATTTTATTGTATTGCAATGGAATCTCACCACAGGTCATTGCGAGGCAGCGGACTGCGCTGCCATGAGGGGACCTGAATGGAGTGTACATATTATACAGTACCAATAAAGTTTAAAAAATGTAAACATTGACAGCTTTGGCAGTGTGCATTTGCCCCGGGGACAGTGTTGATGGTATATGTTGGGCTAGTGGCCTTGAGTGGGGATACTTTTAGTGGAGATACCATTTAGTACCCATTCACACCTAGGCGACAGCGTTTTTGCGCGTATTTTTGTCTAGTGCTTTTGAGCATTGTTTGTACATTTTGCACACGCTTGTGTCGTGCATTTCCAGGCATTTCCCATTGAGTATATGGGGACAAAACACGCTGTAATCTGCCACAAAGAAGATCATATACTTTTTCCAGCGACAGGCGTTTTACAGCTTCTGACAAAACACTCAGGTGTGAACGGGGGCCATAGGAATAAATTTGCATGTTTTGTCATGCAATGTCATTCAATTTTTGTGCGACAAGATGCCTAGACGTGAACGGGGACTTAGACATTACTCAGAGCAGGACCTGCAGTCAGTGACACATGGTGGACATGATATGTCTAACTGCTTTGTGTTAAGACCAGTAATCACTGCATCTGGCAGAGGGAAGTTATCCAGCACCAACTTTCTTTTTGGCTGAGATGTCATGTGACTGAACACAGAAAACCACAAAGTAAACTAATGCTGGAAGATGTGTCCCAATAAACCATGTCCTCCAGTAGCACCAACCATCACTGTGTCCACCAATCAAGGCACCACCGTGGCACATGTTGCCTGGCACAGTTTATATAGCCCAGAGAAATCAGATCCTACCATGACAGGCCAAAGCTTCCCACTCCTCTCCTTGGATGAACAATGTTTCCCATATGTATTTTATGTCCTAAGGGAAACAACGGATCGTTCCTCATGCATGTTAAATCTTTGTATGAAAGGATTGTTTTCAGAAAATCATTACTGCTTATGAAATGAATTTTCATACGAAAGACTATCTACATCTGATTGATAGACACAAGACTTGCTAGCAGTTATATGACCATAAAGCAAAGTCCAACACGCAGCTGACTTCCTGTTCAGAATTCCCTAGACTACGAAGTATACTTTTGTTGCTTGCAATGTCATTCAACGCAGAGCAATGATCTCCACAACAAAGAGAAACATATTTCACATATCTCAGTTTCTGTTGGCATGTGAATTATTGCATACTGTATATAGTTATGAATGTTACTCGCAGCTCTTTGTCTAACCTTTTTTTTGTAATTCTATGCCATTGAAACCTCTGTTCTTGGTATAAATTATTCAAAGTTTATCTTAGGATACATGTAATGAGAAATATATTGAAGATGAGATTGCTGACCTCCTTTTAAAAATGCAAGTTGCCTGGCTATCTCTGGCTCAAATATTTCTTTGTCACAGAGCTGGAACGAGCATGCAGCCAGTGAAGTCACAGTTAAGTCTGAACACCTGATATGTATACTTGCTCTAGGTCGGTGGCTCAAAAAGAATTGAACTCAGAGGATCAGAATGGCAGGCAAGCAATTAGCATTAACATACGGAGAGGTATCCTTGAGCACTCAGATTGGATGGGAGGCCAGCAGATAGGCCCCTATTTTATCTGCTGGC